TGAATGTAAAGCTGGATCCGCCCCTGCTCGTAGAGCAAAGTAGGCTCATTTTAACCAATCAACGCCCAGGTCTCTATCTAGAGCCGTTTTCGGCCGTTTCGTTCAATCAAGTTTTAAATGCCATAAGTTCATTGGGCCTCGTATATGGAGCATTTATCGGACAGCCTGCATTGCGACTGCTAACAAGTCAGCATTTTCCAATCGGCCAGTACGCCAAACAAAGTCGCATAGTCACTGTTTGCACCTGCAGGTATTCCTGCAGCCAACATGGACCTCGACGACATCCTGCCACAAATCGGGGAGTTCGGAAAGTACCAGAAGCTCATGCTGTGGCTCATCTGCCTGCCAGCATGCTTCCCCTGCGGCTTTGGCGCCTTCAACCAACTCTTTATGGCCGACATTCCCAACCACTGGTGCCGCGTTCCCGCCCTGTCCAACCTCACAGTGGAGGCGCGAAAACGGCTGGCAATCCCGCAGGAGAACGGCACCTTTGCCAAATGTGCGCGATACGCCCTCAACTACTCCCTAGTGGAGGACTGGGGAGGTCCCGGAGAGCCTCCTCCGCCCACCGAGCCCTGCTTGGAGGGCTTTGAGTTCGACACGTCCACCTCCCTCCACTCCAGCATAGTGCTAGACGTGAGTATTGAAGCGCATTTTGGGGCTGTTGGGATTTGAGGGGTTCCAGTTCGGGCTGGTGTGCGACAAGGCGATCTACCCCACCTTGGGCCTGGTGGCCCTCAACGTGGGCGGACCCCTTGGGGTCTACGGGTTCGGCTGCCTCAACGACCGCATTGGGCGCAAGCGCACCTTCTTCCTCTGCCTCACCGTCCTCATAGTGGGCGGCCTCCTCACTGCTCTCTCCCCCACTTTCTGGTGGTGGGCGGCCAGCCGCTTTGTCGTCGGCCTCACCATTCCTGCCATCTACCAGATCCCCTTCATTATTTGTAAGTGGATGCTGGCTGGGGTTTTGCACCGCGTGAGTTTCTTAAGGGCTACGTTATAAAACGCCCCCAAAGACTCTCAGAGTTTGCAAAACTCACGCTGTATAATCATCAGGAGGATCTTGCTGGCCTAATAAAACGCAATTCTTCCCATGCCGCAGCGTTGGAGCTGGTGGGCCCGAACTACCGCTCCTTTATCACGGTGCTCACCTGCCTCTTCTACACCGTGGGGCTGATAATGCTGGCCGGGATCACCTACCTGGTGCGCGATTGGGTGCACTTGTCGCTGCTCACCTCCGCACCTTTCATCCTCTACTACCTCTACTGGTTCGTGCTGCCTGAGAGTCCGCGCTGGCTGCTCGCCAAAGGCCGCTTCGAGGAAGCGGCCACCATTCTGGAAACGCTGGCAAAGACCAACGGCAAGGAGCTCCCAGCCTGCTTCAAGCAGCAGCTGAAGCAGCGGATGAGCAACAAGCGGAGCAGCAGCGAGGAGGCGCGCCTCAATCGCAACCTGGGGCTGCGCGACCTGTGCGCCACCCCCAACATGCGGCTCAAGACCGTACTGATCACGCTCAACTGGTTCGCCAACAACATGGTGTATGTGGGGCTCAGCTACTACGGCCCGTCGCTGGGCAGCAACCAGTACCTCAGCTTCTTGCTGAGCAGCGCTGTGGAGATTCCCAGCTATGTGGCGGCCTGGTTGCTGATCGAGCGCTGGGGCCGAAGGTGGCCGCTGTGTCTTTGCATGATTCTGAGCGGCATCAGCTGCATCGCCACTGTCCTGGTGCCGAAAGGTCAGTGCCTACTACTGGTGGCGGAAAAGTTTCATGTGTTGCACCACTAGTGCCTACCACCTGTTAGGCCTGGGTGACTCAGTGAATTTTAGGAGTTGGCGCAGTGCTACGCAAATGGCGTGGTGCGCCAACCCAACGCACCGGCGCAGTAAGTCCCGTTGGTGGGAAAATGTTAATGACTTGTTTTTACATTTATTTTAAGGGCCATTTATTAATAATGTTTTTTTAACTTTTTTACAATTTCAGAATTTTCCAGTTTTAGCCAAGTTACTCTTTCTTCTAAATGCCCAATTTTCTAAAGTTTCACTTAGAAATGCTGACAATCGTTGCTCTGAAACAACATTTTTTAGGCGCGTGTTTAAATAGCTGGAAAAAAATCAAAATCTATTGCGATTTCAATTCAAATTTGTCAATTCGGAGATGCAATTGTCTGCTATATTATGCGAAGCTTTCAAGTCCGTACTTGCTCCAGATTAGCAGTTACGAATTTTTTAAGGAGAGCGCGCTTTTCCTCTAAAACAACATTTTTTAAGCGCGTGCTTAAATAGCAGAAAAAACCAACATTCAGTGCGATCTTAATGAAAATTTCTCAGTTCTAAGATGCAAACGTTCACTACCGCAAGGAACATGTTCAAGTGCGCACTTGCCCCGGTTTAGAAGTTACGATTTTT